CACCTGCGGCTCGTTGAGACTCATACCGGCCAAGCGCTCGACCCCCGGGGTCAACGTCGCCGAGAGTAACACCGTTTGCGGCCTAACTGTGCACACGCTGTAGAGGTGGTCCATAACCTTCTTGACGGACTCCTCGAAGCCGGCCTCCAATAGCCGGTCCGCCTCGTCCACGACGAACCACTTGACACGGTTTAGGCGCAGATTACCGGTGCTCTGCATGTGATCCAACAGCCGGCCGGGCGTTGTCACCAAAATGTTGATCCCTTTCCTGATGCGCGCCTTTTCCGACTTCTTCTTCTCGCCACCGCACAGATAGCCAGTGACGAGCCGTTTGAACGACTGGCACAACACGGAGAAGCACTCGTAGCACTGGAGGGCCAGCTCACGGGTGGGCACAATCACCAGGGCGTGGACGCCGTCGCTGCGACCGATGGGCGGCGCCAGTGATTGCAAGTCCTGTACGACGGGAACGGCAAACGCCAACGTCTTGCCGGAGCCGGTCATCGATTTGATGAGTGCGTCCGAGCCGGACATCAGCGCCGGTATGGAGTTCTGCTGGACGGATGTGGTCTCACTGATGGACAGCCTATCGCTCAGACACTTCACTAAATACGGGTGTAATGAGAGTTCGCTGTAGTTGTGCGACGAGAACACCGGTTCCACTCGACTCTTGGTGTCCACTCTATAGGCATGAGTAAAAAAGTAGAGATAATTAGCCATCGATGGCAACGGTGTGCGCACTCAATGGTGACCTACATATGGATTGGTGGCACGTCTTGGGAAGCGCTGTCAAAGAGGCGTGAATTGAGTTTCGCATAACTGAACCGATTGTCCGCCCGTTTGTCGGCCCGTCTGTCCCCACCCGGGGGTCGTCTGTCCGGCCGACTGGACGTCCTATCCATCCACGACCTGTCCGGCGATGTCCTGCCATCGGTGTCGGCATTATCTTCGGCGCTATTATCAGTATTTTTCTTATGGATCGCCTTTTTCTGCACTTTTTGGCGAAGTTTTGCTTTTTTGTTGGGACTCTCGTTGGAGTGAAATATATTCAAAATCAATGAATCGCTGTTTGTATCCATGCTTTCCATCAAATGCATTGATATTTGGTGTCAATTATATTGTCAACAAATTGTATGCAAAATGAACACTCAATTCAAAATCATCGGTAAAACATGGCTTTGAAAGTCAAACACGTGTTGGGATTGTAAACACATTTCAAATGTTTTTGGTGTTTTTTAAATGCCATTTAAGTGTTCATTAATAATGTCATTAATATTAATGTGCCCTCAAAGCAATTTTTACGCTCATTTTACTATTCATTTTGTGAACATTTTCTATGCATTTATTTGCCATTATTTATGGACTCAATGCTCAATTCACAAACCATTGACTGCTGGCAAACATGTGTCGGCCATTGGATACAATGCCCACTCAATGCACACAACGCTATCGATTGCATGTGAAGCGCATGGAAGGCATCGCTGTGTTCGGCATCGCTTGTCAGCTCTCATCGTAGGGTTTGCTATGATTCTCAAAGCGATAAGAAAATACATTTCTATTGAATACTTGAGGGAACATACGATCCGTGGTTATCATCGTGTTGTGTATGAATGCCTCATAGATAGCCAGGTCATCGAGAGTGTGCCCGCACCTATTAGATA